AAAAGGGAAACAAAACTTACAAAGTAAAATGCCTACCAAATATTTATTGGACGAGTTACTACATAATAGAGCTAAGGAAAAAAATGAAATTCACTAAGTTGCATTATAGTTTTTTAATTACCCACTGCTGAAGGACAAAGACAAAGAAAATCTTGAGACTTAGATATGAACCATGAGCAAATTTTTTTTAGTTAACACAAAATAATCCCCAAACAGGTCTTCATTATTAGGGTTATGACTGTCCAGACCTAGAAATGGAATAGGATCCCTGCACTGTCCATGGGTCAGACAGCATCTGCAGTTTTTTATTCCTTTCAGATATTTGCCATTTTAAGAAAAATCTCACTAAAAAACTGGAAGGCCTCCAATGGAGAACTGGGATGGCAAAAAAATCTGGAAACCAAGGTACAGTAGATGAAGAACAGGAACTGGGAGAAATTAGTGAGGGGAAGTCTTGTTGAAAATGGGAGGTAAGAAAGTTACCCTTCAAAAATCCAGAGAGTCAATATGCAGATAAAAACAGATTTATTCTGCCTATCTCTAAAGAGTAAAAGAAACGGGCCTTTTCAACAATTAATTCTACCCATCAATGCATTACACACCACATGAAAACACAGACCAAACAACTAGCTGGTCAAAGATTACTGTCAGTTATAGCTGGTACATCTCAACTTGGGACAGGAGAAACCGCTCTGCCCTACTGTCCGTATAGACACGAAAATTACCCTTGTCCCCATGCAAGCCAAAATCAGAGTTCTGGAAGGGAGGGCCAACAGTCCAGACATCACTTGAGCAGTCATTTGTATATGAAATTGTAAATCTATATGAATAATTTTATAAAACTACACACTTTTGGGGGAGCCATTCTGAGAAGCTACTCAGATACAAAAAGTTAGTATTCTCCAAACAAAATTTACTCAGAACCACTTCAACCATTTCAATTTCTCTTTTAATGGTTTAAAAAGTATTATCAATAAATCTCCTCAGCCTTAAAATTAATCTCAAGGACTTTTAGATAGGTCTTATATTCCAAAGCCACATATCAAGACTTCTAACATGTGGTTGCTTTTTGCTAAATTTAGCTATATTTTCCACTCATGAACATAAATAATAGAAAATAAGACCAGACTTAAAATTAAAAGACAGGTTCTTATAGTCAGAGATCCACAAAAGCTATAAAGGGCAACTTGAATCATTTTCAATTTTTCAAAAAACATACATTTCCCCTACATCAATAAACTCACAAAAACTGAAGATTTTCTTAATTTTTAACTAGAATTTTACCAACTCAACTCATTGTGTTTATACTTAATTCATGCAGAGCAAAAGCTCTGATCGACAAGTGGTAGGTAAATCATAGTTCATTTTAAAATGAAAAGTAAATCACTGCTTTGAAATGTACCTGAACAAAATGTTGTATATGGGATAGGCGTGAAAAGATAGTAACATGAAGAAAAAGATGAGAAACACTGAACTAAACACTAAAAATTATCCTAATTTCACCGGTGATAACATTAGCTCACCTTTAGATACATTATCACACTTAATTCTGCCAACAATATTTTGAGATAAGCTCTGTTATAACTCTACTTGACCCTTAAACAACACAGGGTGGAATTAAGAGGGTCCACTTATACACAGAATTTTTCAATAAATACCGCTACTATTTTTGATCCATGGTTAAGAGTCAAGGATGTGGAGGGCCGACTGTGCACACTGTTGTACACCATTTTATACAGGGGACTTGAGCGTCCACAGATTTTGGTATCCTTGGGGGTCCTGCAACCAATCCCCCAGAGATACCGAGGGACAATGAAGTTTGGGGGGAGTCGAGAGTTATACTCAGATTTTCGACTGCACAGGGATTGGTGCCCCTAACCCTTGCATTGTTCAAGGGTTAACTATACTCTTTTACAAATGAGAAAAGTGAGGCCCAAAGCGAGTAAGAATCTTAAAAGTCAGGTAGCTACAAACAGCAAAGCCAGGGTTCAAACCTATGTTATGTCTACTTGGCTTAAACTGTGGAACTATACTGCCTCTGAATAATAATTACTGCTAACCAAAACATCAGAATAAGTTCATCAGGTATATCAGGGGCCAATCTAAACTTGAAAGTACTGGTATATATGTATAAAAGATTTTACTCTATAAAATTTCTTATTAGTCCCATTTTCTACTTTATCAATCATTGTATAACAAAAAGCCAAATTTATTGACTTTTTCTCTGCTTCTATTCACTCCTAAATAAGATTCTTCCCTTATCACTCTGTTATTACTTCTTTTCAGGCTCCAAATTCAATGGATTATTTTCATTCTCACCCTTCTTGACCTTATGATGGACCAGACTCTCCTGACCACTTTCTGCTGCTTAAAAGTTCCTCTCCTTCCTCGGACAACACTCTCCTCCAATACTACTTCTTAGTTTCTTTCCCTCCTCGGTTTCTTTCAGCAACTGAACCCTCTCCTCTGTACAACCCATAAATGTAGGAGTCCCACCCCCGCATGCAATCTGGCACTTCTTAAAAAAAATGCAATTTACTAAATTGAACCGTTCTCAATTCATATCTGCAAAAATTTGTGTGCATTTATATTTTAGAGACTCCTTAACATTTTAATCCACAATACTTCACTAAACTATAAACTCCATGAAGATGGGCTATACTTGGGTTTTTCTGACCTGTAACACACAACAGACAGTGTTTGTGGAATAAATGAAAGCTACCTTTGGTGTAGCCTAAAACTAACATCTCCTTGGAGCAGGTAGTAACTAAAATGATATTCTTTTTTCAAAATCAAAGTATGTGCGAAGTCACAAACTTTCTGGCCCAAAGAAAAGGTTGGGCTACATGAATGAATCCCTCCTACAGAGCAGATAAACCTGATATAAGGTCTCATATACCAGCTCTGTAGTTATTTTTAAATCATCGCACCTTTTCCTTAATAAATTCAACCTTAATTTTATAGTTGTTGTTGGAAACAATTGTGAAATACTCCTGCTACCAATGAAGCATACCAAATTTAGAACATTAATTTCAGGGTTAAATATAAAGAATCAGAAGCTTAATGGTGTGTGAAGAAAAAAAATCACCTTAGACACAACAATCATGCAATTCCTTTTTTCAACTTAGAAAAATAAAATCTTAGAAATGAGAAGAAACATGGTTTTGTTTAACTTCTTACCCAACCAAGAGTCCTTTCTACAGAATCCTTGATAAATATTTTTCAAACCTCTGCCCAAATACTAAATCTTTTTATATCCTCGTTACCTTTAAAAAGTAAATCTTTTTTCCATTTTCAGGCAGATGACTGAACATAAGACACATAAGGCTTTAAAAGGGAGCTAATGGAGAAAACTATTAGTGATTTTTTCTTTTCAATTTCTCAACCATTGGTAAAATAATGCTCACAATCTCAAGCTACGCTAAAGAAAAAGCACACCAAAAACATTTCCAAACACTTAAATTCAATGGTGAACCTCTATGACATATGTATTTACACAATCAACGTAAAAATGTAGTTATTGTGGTTGAGCACTGAACTTGTTGGAAACAATCTCATTTCCCATGGACCCAGAATGGGTCCAATCAGGACACCTGTGATCCCTAGCAAGCAATCTTTGCTTATTTAAATTCCCTAAAACAAGATATCTCTCAATGTCCAAGTTCCCTTTCACTTCCATTATTCTCCCCACAGAACATGTCAATAATGAGAGGCACTTTTTCTGCTGGGGATGGTACATAATATGGAATCACTTGTTTGTAGAGAAAATTAGTGGAAGAGTCTTCCATTAATCAGAAAAAAGTTTAGAATAACTTAATAAGGAGGGTGACACTGAAATTTTACTCTCAAAAGTATCTAATTATAAAATATTTTGTTTTCCCCAAATCAGCTAAGCCCTTTGATGTATACTGTACCTTTATTAGAGAAATGATACAATTTGTAATGATTAAATATTGTTTCAAAAGTCAGACTAATTCCGAACGTTTTAGAACCTAAAATCCACAGATAAAGAAGCTTCGGTTATCACTCATGCAGCAGGATCATGTTGCTACTCATTTAAGATATTTCTAAGTTTCTTAACCTCATCATGAATTCAAAGAGACGACTCCACTATGACAGCTACAAGCTTTCCATGAAAGGCCGTGATATTTTGTCTTTGTTTGTACTGGAAGTCTTATCACAAATAAGACTTTTCCCAGATTCCTCTCACCATTTCATTCTCTGTCCTCTCCATTCCCAACCAAAGGTGGGGGGGGGGCGGGGAAGACCCAAAACTTAGTCTTGTCCTTATTAGTCAATAAAAATTTTTCCTCTTGTAGGGGGAAAACAAAATATAGCTTGTAAAGATAACCTGTACATCTTATGTGCAATAAACAAATAAATGCAAGCAGCTGATCCACATCAAACCCAGATCCATTTTGGTGAATTCTCTCCCAAGCCCAAACGTGTGTATTATGCAACAGCCATCATTCCAGTTTTTAATCCCTGTCTGTGATGCAGTAATAAAACACAAATGGCATGAGTATAATCCACTACGTACTTAATACTTAAGTACATTTGCAAGAGAGAAAACAAGAATTACCAAATTCTCAGGACTCTTTAAAAATACAAATTGTGTAACAGTTCTGAATCACAATTACAACTTTTCCTTTTGGTAGTCTTTTGGTAACCTGTCTCTACCGCTCCAACCCCCTCAAAAATCCTCACACGTGAGCATTTCAAGTTGAGGTTTTGAAAGGGTCTCCCAAAGGGGTAAGAGAGCCAGCATCAGGTGGTTATCCTAGAACCTACTCCTAATAAAGATACCCATACAAATCTTCAAAAGCTGAAAAGCGAGCAAGATGCTTCATCATTTCTCCCAAAAGACAATAATGAGAGTAAATGTAGGCCAGTTCTCTGAGCCACAAACAATCCAATGCTTCACCCATCGATCTCCAGGGGCAAAGGCCTCAAAAAATTGCATAATGAGCAGCTAAGATTTAGAACAGAACGACAATCACCTGCATTTTGGAGTAGAATCTATACGATATCTATTCCAAAAGTAGTTAAAGACCTGAGGGGTGGTCAGAGCATCTCTGGAGGCCACCTACGCGGGCGAATCCGAGCCTAAACGCTTCGGTTCTACACCTGACCAGGTCCGCTTCTCACCAAGCCAAGGATCAACGCGAGCTTCGGAAAGGCTCCCGGCGGGGAAGCAGTGGAGGGGAGGGGGCTCAGCCAGCGCAGCCGGGGAACTAGGCGCGATCCGAGGCGAGCGAGGCGAGGAGAAAGAGGCATTCCCTCACACAAAATGG